GCGTCAGGGACAAAGCCAAGGAAGACGCAGGGGATAGCACGGGGGGAGAGCTTGTCCGCGGACGTATCGCGAACAAAGGCACGAGATCCCCAGACCCGGAACACCGACGCATCGCCAACCTCCCCCGTCCAACGCAGTGTGGGCGAGGTCTCCGGCAAGGAGACACGGGGCCAGAGGTTGAGCTGATGCGCAGCGTACTGGACCGCAAACGACCACAGAAAATGGGGAGCAGCCGCATGGATCATGGAGGTACGAGCGACCTTCATGACTAAGCCAATGCGGCGCTCAGCAATCCCATTTTGCTGAGGGGAGTCCGGAAGCGTGAACGACTAGAGAATGCCCTCCCCACGACAAAACTCCCTCAAGAGGTTGGAGGAGAACTCACCACCTCTGTCAGAGTGCAGACGCAGGACAGGAAGGTCCTGGCCGAAGCGCTCGCGTAGCAGAAGACGGATAGTGCGGATCCAAGGGATCAAGACATTAACGACCTGACCCTTGCTGCGCAAGGGGAAGACCGTGGTGTAGTCGTCAACTACCAGCAGAAAGTAGCGCTCGCGGCTCTGTCCACTGACTCGGGCTGGGCCCCACACGTCCATGTGGAGAGTCTGCAGGGGAGCAGTCGTCGGGAGAAACGAGGAGGAGTGAGGAGCGGCGCGCTCCCGCCCCTCGACGCAAGGGAGGCAGGGCGGGGCAGGCGAGGGCGGTAGGGGAGGCAGAGACCTGGGGAGACCAGAGACAAGAAGACGAGAGTGCATGCCACGAAGGCGAGGCAGGGAGGGGTGACCCAGGCGGTGGTGCCACAGAAGAGTCTGGTGCGACAGGAGGCGACACGAGCAAGAGGCGGCTACCTGACCTGACGCGGACACCTGAGCAGACGCAGCTACCTGAGAAGGCTCGGTAGCGAGTGTGTACAGACTCGACCCTGGCCGACGAGTGAACGTGGCCAGGTGACGCCCCGTCCGTGTGCACGTGCAGATCGACACACGCTGACCCCTAGGAGTGGTGGTAGTGACCATCGCATCCTGGAGGGCAGCGGTACTCACCAAGTTCGTAGAGAACGAGGGGAGGTGAAGACCTGACAGTGAACCGGACGGAACCGCCGGACATGGGAGGACAGTGGAGGAATGGGCCACGACCGGTCCCCCTGAGGGGTCTGCCAGTTTGACCGGGACAGGTGCAGGAACAGGAGTGAGGGTGGTGCTGTCACAAAAGAAACAGCGCGAGGCGCCTGAGTCCAACGTGAAAGTGTGCAAAGCCTCAGCAGGCCCAGTACCAGAGAGAGTACCAGACTCACTAGCACCTAGTGCAGCAGCGGCTATACCTGGGTGAGGCGGCACACACCGGTAACAGTCACCCTCAGCATTAACAGACAAAGCATATATAGCAGAGAGAATAGCATCAAAGTCAAGGTCAAAGATAGCAATCCTAGACTTCAGCAGATCTGCCCAGTGAGGGAGCTCGACGTCGTCACCAAACTCAGCACGCCAAGCGTCGTCGAGGCGGGAGAAGCAGCGGTGCTGAGTGTGGAGCCGCCCGCAAGTCTGACCAGCACGGCCACCCACGCGAATGACATACGGGCAACTACCCCCAGACGGCCCACGCAGAAACCACTCATGAAGCTGTTGGGGAGACAGGGTCTCGCTCCAACGCTGTTGCTGCTGACGCTGGCCACCCCAAGAACCGACACGCCGAGCGCCAGTCCCACCGCCACCAGTCCCACCGCCTCCGCTGCCGCCACTCCCACCGCTGCCTCCACCACCGCCACCAGAGCCCCCACTCCCGCCACCACTCCCACCGCCGCCACCACCTCCACTGCTGCCCCCTCCACCACTCCCACTGCCACCTCCACCACCGCCGCTGCCACCACCACCACCCCGGCCACCCTTGCCATTGCTGCTGCGGCGCTTCGCACTAGCAAAAGCAACCCCGACGTCCTCAGGAACAGAGACGTCTGCAGCAGCAGCAGAGGCGTAGGAGGGGGCAAGTGGGGAGGGGGAACACCCCTCAAAGAAGGGCGGGCGCGGAGTGCCACGAGCAGCACCTACAGCAACTGCACTAGTCTCAGCTGCGAGGAGATGCTGCTCGAGGAGGTCAACAGTGAGGGAGGTGGGGTCAAGAGAGAGGAAGTGGTCCCTGACAGAGCGAAGAGAGTCAGGGAGGCGGGTGACTATAAAGTAGAGAGTGATGTACATCGGGGGCGGGTTCCTGTCAAGGAACTCAGCAGGAACGGCAGCGCGGTAGCGAGCGTCACTAGCGCGAAGGTGGGAAACCAGGTCCTCGACTGTGGCAAAGGCGGACATCTCGGGGAACAGGTAGGGCACAAGGAGGCGGCCTAGAGCAGCAGTGGCAGGGGAGGAGTAGCGGGCGACTACAGCGTCGTACAGTGCCTGTGCTGTCCTGTGCTGTCCGAAGTGAGCGCACTCAGCTAATGGCAGGTGGTTGCGAATGGCTAAGCGGGCAGCAGCGTCTCGAGTAAGCCACTGTTAGAGAGTCGAACTGTCGGCTGTGGCGGGAGGGGCAGTAGCAGCTCCTGACGCTAGGTCAAAAAGCGAGACAGTGTCCTTAGAATCGCTCAGTAGGTACAGCTGCAGGTCGTCAAGCCACGTGTCAAACTGAACTGGTCTACCCTCATGATCAAACGCAAGGACATGAAGCGAAGCCATAGCTGTGTAGTACGTACGAGCAGCAGTACCAGCTGTAGCAGTAGCAGTAGCAGTTTTAGCAGGAGCAGCAGTGACAGTGGGGCGAAGAGGCCGCCGGGGCTGGGCGCGGGCTAGGGACGGGGCCGGGCGCGGGCTAGGTACGGGGCCGGGCGCTGGCTAGGTACGGGGCCGGGCGCTGGTTAGGTACTGGGCCGGGCGTGGGCTTGGTACGGGGCCGGGCGCGGGCTAGGAATGGGGCCGGGCGCGGGCTAGGTACGGGGCCGGGCGCGGGCTAGGTACGGGGCCGGGCGCGGGCTAGGTACGGGGCCGGGCTCTGGGCAGGTACGGGGTCGGGCGCAGGGCTAGGTACAGGGCCGGGCGCTGGGCAAGGGACGGGGCCGGGCGCTGGGGAGGAACGGGGCCGGGCGTTGGGCGCGATACAGGGCCGGGCGCCTGGCAAGGGACGGGGCCGGGCGCTAGGCAGGTACGGAGCCGGGCGCTAGGCAGGTACGGGGCCGGGCGTGAGACTAGGTACGGGGCCAGGCGCGGGCTAAGTACGGGGCCGGGCGCTGGGCAAGGGACGGGGCCAGGCGCTGGGGAGGTACGGGGCCGGGCGTTGGGCGCGATACGGGGCCGGGCGCAAGGCTAGGTACGGGGCCGGGCGCGGGCTAGGAACGGGGCCGAGCGTTGGGCGTGATACGGTGCCGGGCGCTAGGCTAGGTACGGGGCCGGGCGTTGGGCGCGGAACGGAGGCCGGGCGCGAGGCTAGGTATGGGGCCGGTCGCGATACGGGGCCGGGCGCAATACGGGGCCTGGCGCGATACGGGGCCGGGTGCGAAACGGGGCCGGGCGCGATACGGGGCCGGGCGTGAGGCTAGGTACGGGGCCGGGCGCGGGCTAGGTACGAGGCCGGGCGCGAGGCTAAGGGCCGACGTGGCCGGGCGCGGGCTAGGAACGGGGCCGGGCGCGGGCTAGGGGTCGACGGGCCGCGTAGGCTAGGAGCGAAGGGCCTAGGGGCGGTTACTAGCAACGTAGCAGGTGGTGGGCCCAAGGAACCTGCTCTGATACCATGTCAAACTAACGAAGGAGAATGAATGAACTATGAAACAGTTGGGTACAAGTACTAACCCTAATTGGGTTGTACCCCTTATGGGCTACCCCACTACAGCCTACACAAATGTATAAGCCTTAATGTTCTGACACTTCCCTGCGCTCCCGCCCTCCCTACTGCTAGGCCTGTCATGGCTACGGGCCCCGCCTCCCTACCCGTCGTGAACGAGCCGACGGTTCGACGTGGCCTCATCCTAACCGCAGGCGGGATCGACGTGGAGGTGTTCGAAGACCAGTTGAATGCGCTTAGCGAGGCGCCGAAGGCGGAGCTCGACGAGACGATGATGAACGCGGGCGTTGTGTACGTTTCCTGTCAAGCACTTTAGGTTTGCCATGTTTACCTGTCGCTGACTGTGCCTTAGCTTTCCGTGCAGCCTGTTTTCGAGGGAGCTGCTGTCCTTCGAGCAGCTCGCCAAGCTGTCGATCGTGACTTCGACGCGTGCGCATGAAGAGATGGCGCGTCCCACACCGGTCGCTTTTGCGAACAACCACCTCGACGGCCTGCTCGGCAAGCAAGTGATTCTCGTTCTGCTGCGGACCACGTGAGTTCGACACTATCCCGTCGCCTTGCGTGCTCCATGTTTAGTACTAAACCCGTGCTCACGTGCATTCGCTCTGCATGCAGCCTGACTGTGGCGCCGTTCTCCTACTCGAGCCTGTTTGTGGTATCGCGCCCCGACGATCTGCTGGCTCCGAGGCACCATGGCTGTCAAACTCGAATGATGCACTTCGATTCGAAAGACAGGTTTCCCGCGGTGAACCACCAATCTTCGCTGGCGCATGAAGTTATCGTGTGAGTGACCGATTTGCCACCCTGCTGTCGACTTGCCGTTCTCAACAATCTCTTACTCTCCTGTCCGTTGCTTTGCAGTTGGATGAAGAAGCAGCTTCGCGCAGAGTACGAGACGACCCAGCGGGTTGTGACCGAGTACGAGCAGGAGGTGCTTAGCCTCATTGACTTGCGTCTGGACATGATCACAAGTTTTGATCATCTGGTAAGCCAACCCTTACCCTTACCCGTGCATGTTTTCGTCGAGCATGTTTGTTTTGTCGCTTACGTGTGTTATATACCCGTCGCAGACGACGACGGCCCTGACGAGCCCCAGTGAGCCCGGCGCGGCAGCTCGTGTCGTGCATGGGGTGCGCCGAATTCTGTCGAACTGGGACAATTTCATCCTGCAGCCTCGACAGGGCGACCTCGTGATGCTCAGGAGAACGAGCCCTGGCCCGGGTTTGCTTCCGTCGTTCATGCTCAAAATGTTTTGGAAAAGGATGGACGAGGCGGCAGAGGGAGTAGGAGTGGGAGGGGGTGCCGGACACGAGGGAGGAGGCGAGGGGGCGCCACGCGTTGTAGTTGAGTACAGCTACGAGGAGGAGGAGGAGATCAAGGAGGATACATCGAGGCAAGCTCAGCACGGGGTGAGCGGCCCGGGCGGCAATGCGAATGAGCAGGAGGGCTCGAGCTCGGAATCGAGCTCCGGCTCGAGCTCGAGCGATGAGTCGATCGAGCACGACGGCGAGGGTTTAGGGTTACATCCAGGTTGGACGGAGCGTACGGAGAAGCACGGAGTGGCGCTCGGGGAGCGGGTGGACGAGCAGCAGGCGACGGGGGACGATTGGGATGTCGAAGAGCAGGAGGGCGGAGCGGCTGGGCAGGATTTTGGGACAGGAGTGCAGCAGCAGGAGGGCAGGGCGGCTGCGCAGGAGGGTGGGGTCGGAGGGCAGCAGCAGGAGGGCGTGGTGGCTGCGCAGGAGGGTGGAGCGGGAGGGCAGGAGCAGGAGGGCGGGGAGGCTGCGCAGGAGCGACTTGTCGCAGTAAGAAGGAGACACCGCACGGCCAGTGGCAGCGGACAGGCGGGCCCTTCGACGGCAGGCCATTCGACGCCGGCCATTGCATTCGGAGACCAGGTCGTTGAGCTACTGCAGAGGGTCGCGGAGGTCGAGGCGTCGCAGAAGAAGCTCGTCGCAGACGTATTTGCGAAGCACTGTAGGCAAGCCACTGTTTTCAACAAGCTTGCTGGGGATTTTCGGACGTCATGGAATATGATTTCGGAGTCGTCGAAGAGCACGCTGATGCAGTGTGGCGATGCCGTAAACGGTGTCACGGAGGAGAGGAAGCTGTTGGAAGGGGCACGCTCGAAGCTCGACGAGATGAGCAGGAAAATCATCGAGGGGGTGGCAGGCGCGATCACAAAAGCGAGCGAGGACGCCGTCGAGAAGCAGCTCAAGCTTGTCGAGGAGCGGCTGGTTGCTTCGGTCGTGAAGGGTATTGAGAAAGCTGTCAAGGAGGACTTGTTCTACTCCACCCTCCCGCCCGAGAGCATGAAGGAGCTGAAGGTCGTTGTGAGAGAAAGCTACCAAGAAGCTGAAGCTGGCAGATTGGAAGTCCTCACCGAAGCGATGGCGAGAGGGTTTTGGGGCTCGGCGGGCCCGTCGACGAGGTCGCGTCAGGAGGAGGGGGTGGCTGGTGTTCGCGGTGGGGTTGAGTGTCGAGTTCATGAGCGCTCGGTTCCTCCTTCTTCGGTGGGAGGACATGTCGGCAGCCCGGTAGCATCCCCACCGTCGCGTGCCCGTCAGACCGTCGGCAAGTCCGTCGAGGATAAGGATGTCATCGTACTCGACCAATTGCCCCATCAGCAGACCTCTGAAGCGGCACCATAGCCTCCGCCTGATGCTTTTTCTCCGCTGCGGGACATGCTGCAGGGCCTCGGAAAAAAGGGTGGGAAAGGAGTGGTTGTGGGGGAGAAATATGGTGCCCCAATCGGCCAGGTCGCCTCAGCCGGGAAAGGAGCCGTGGAAAAGCGAGGTGCCCCTACCCCGTCCGGCGGCGCTGCGGGGAAAGGAGCGGGGAAGAAATGGGGTGATCCCAGCCAGGTCGCCGTCGCTGCTGGGTTGCTGTCGAAGACAAAGGCCGACTCCGCTGCGCAGCTCAGCATTGCTGGCCGTCCTGTCGAGCCTGTGGGAAAGAGGTCGTCGTCCGTTTTAGGCGACGTCTCCCTTAGCAAACCCGGTTCCCCTCCTCCTGGTCCGAGGCCAAGGTCCCCTTCTGCGTCGAAGAAAAGGCAGGCTGTGACGAAGTCGACGAAGCGGGCTGCAAAGGCAACAGAGAGCAGTGACGTCGAGAAGGCGTCTACCGTCGTTGCTGCTCGACACGAAAAGTCAAAGAAGCCCAAGGTGATCGGCTACGCCCCACCTCCTCCGCCGGATGACCAAGGCAGGACGAGAGCCTGCAAAGCTCCCTTCAAAGGACCGGGCATGATGTCGCGCAAGGGGAAGCCGGTTTCCGAGCAGACCGTAGGCTCGAGGAAGCGGTTCGTGGGCAATTTTGAAACGGAGGGGGACCAGAAGTTTTGTACGGCCATCTGCTGGCTCGTGTACTTCCTCGACATAGACCTCAAGGAGTACGAGGGGTTCACGGCGCAGGATGAGAAGGACTGGAAGGTCTATCTCGATGCAGCAGCGCGATGAAGTCCTGTAGCTTGACTATCGTAACGGTTTTGTTCTTTCCGTCGAAGTGCTGTCGGATTTCCTGTCGAAGTCGTGCCGTCTGACTAACGCATTTGATTCGATTTGCAGTTTCCGGTCGCTGCTGGCGACGACAAATACGGAAGTGAGAGGCGGAATCGGCTGGGGAATTGCGCTGTGCGCGGCGATTGGGAAGGTTGCGACGCTTGGCCGGAGGCACGGGAACGTGATTTATCTGGTCCCGAAGAACATGCACGGGACTGTGCACACGATGGCCTTCGCAGCAACTGTGGCAAGCTTGTGGGCGGCCTGCAGAAAGTTGTCGAGGGAAGACATTAAGAAGGTGTTAGAATCGAGAATGTTGTGGCATTAGGTAAAAGGGGGGGGTACAAGTACAATGTCGAGAGAAATGTTGTACCCCCTAAAGATGAACCCACTACAGCCTAGAACAATGTAAGCATATATGTTTTGACACACCCCCATAGGCGAAGTGGGGGATAGCAAGAGCAAGCAATGGTCACAAGACCAGTCAAGAGAAGAAGCAAAGCAAAGCAAGCTCAGGGTGGATCACAAAGTCACCACACAGTCCGAGCACAAGCAAAGGGCCACAAGGCCAGTTCACATGCAGAGGTACATAAAGAGAACAAACAGTACAGTGATCATACCCTAGCAAGTGTAAGCATGTAGGTATATATATAGATCACAGTACAAGCAAAGTCAAGCAGTAAGCAAGTGAGGCAAAGTAGGCACAAGGCCTAACACAGTAGAGAAGCGCTGATGATCACCAGGCGGAAGTGCCTTGGTGAAAATATCAACAGTTTTGGCCCTAGTGGCCACGTACGCAAGACGAAGCTGGCCACGCTGCTGCAACTCCCGAGCAAGGAAGTATCGCAGAGCGATGTGCTTCGTTCTGTGTTCCAGTCTGTGCTCCTGACACAAGGCAATCATGGCCTTGCTGTCTACGTATAGAACAAGAGGCGAACGAGGCTGCTCTCCAAAGTCAGTCAGCAGGTAGGTGAGCCAACGTAGCTCCTGTGCAGCCATGGCCCCGGCGTAGATCTCAGCCTCACAAATGGAGCTGAGAACAGAAGACGAGCGGGTAGAAGTCCAAGAAACAGACCCGGAACCGAGGCTGAAGATGTAACCCTGTGATGACCGCTGTGTAGCTGAGTCGTCAACCCAGGAAGCGTTTGCGTGACCGGTGAGGACAACTGGACCCCGTCCTCGAAGCACGAGCCCCATGCCTAACGTACTGGAAAACTAGCGCAGTACCCTCTTCGCAGCATCCCAGTGCACCTTTCGGTGCCTACCGGGAGCCACATAGCGAGCCAGAAGGCTGAGAGGGTACGCGAGGTCAGGTCGTGTGCACGTCATCAGGTACATGAGGCAACCCACAAGCTCTGGGTACAGACCACTCGGCTCTACGGACTCGTCCGAAGGTGGAGCTGAGAGCGAGTGGCTGGTAAACAGAGGAGTGGGCTGTGGCGAGGAGAACTCGAAGCCGAAGCGCTGAAGGACCTGGTGCACCATGTGTGACTGAGTCAGGGTGATGGTGCGCCGTGCTCTGTCCCGGGTGATCTGCAAGCCAAGATAGTTGCGAAGTTCACCCAGGTCAGTGCAGGTGTGTCTCTTCTGCAGCTCCGACTTCACAAGGGTCAGTGCCTCAGTGTCAGCAGTGGCAAAGATGAGGTTGTTGACGTACACGAGGACGTAGAACGGCGGCATTGAGGTGTCGGTGCGTAGAAACAGCGACGGGTCAGCAGTAGCAGGAGCAAACCCAAGAGCCGCAAGTGTAGTCCTGAGTGTGTCGTGCCACTCGCGAGGCGCCTGGCGGAGACCGTAGACTGGCCGGCGGAGGCTCCACTGAGTACCTGCAGGAAACGTCCCAGTGAAGCCAGGTGGGCGGCGCAGCCAGATCTCCTCATGCAGGCTGCCCTGCAGGAAAGCTGTGCTGAAGTCCAGAGAGTGCAACTCATAGTCACGTTGAGCAGCGACTTGCAGCTGCACCCGAAGAGTAGTCATCTTCGGGGTGAAGGAAAAGGTATGGAAGTACTCAACCCCCTGTTGCTGACTGAAGCCTCGTGCAACGTAACGCGCCTTGAAGGTAGGCGGAGAACCCGACGGCCGCTTCACCCTGAAAATCCACATGCCATCGACTATGTTCGCCCCAGGTGGGGGAACCTCGTCGACGTAGGTGCCTGTGGACTTCCAGGATGCCATCTCGGCATCCATGGCTGCCTGCCACTGAGAGGAGTAAGGACCCGTAATCGCCTCTGCGTAAGAGCGCGGGGTCGGGATGTCTGGTGCATCCGGATCTCCCTCAGGGGCAAGCAGCATGGAAGCGAAACGAGGTACAGCAGCTGCAAGACACTCAAAGTCCTCCTGCCTGTCCTCAAGGACGTCCGTGCCAAGAGCACACTCACCCCCGACGGAGGGAGGACTGGCAGACTCAGACCCAGCAACAAGAGCAGTGGCGTAGTCTAGACGACACGCAGCAGCAAAATCAAGAAGCTCAGCAACGAGAGCAGACGCAGCAACACACTCAAAGGAAGGGCCAGTGACAGCAGTGGCGAGGAGACGAGCGAAAGTGGGACAAGCAGCACGAGCGCGGTCAGACGCAGGGTCAGGGACCCCAGGAAGAGAGGACTCAGGAGGAACAGGTAGAGGAACACGCTGTGGAACAGAGGAAGGACGAGACGCAGGCGCACGATGCTCTGTAAGACCGCCGGACTGCTCAGTGTAGGGAGAGGGAGCGTGCAGTGGAGAGGCCGGCTGCAACGGCAGCTGCGACTGGTCAGGCGGTGGACACAGGAGGGGAGGAGTAAGGCTAGTAGAAGACGGGACACCAAGAACCTGCTGAAGTAGGGGAACGAAGTACGGTCGCGGCCGCACAGTGGCTCCAGCACCTCCAGCTCTAGGGTCAACAGCTCCAGCTCCTCCAGCTCCAGCGCCAGAGCCTCCGGCTCCAGTAGCTCCAGGCTCCCTAGAGTCACCAGCTCCAGCGCCCTCAACACCACCAGCCCCGGCAGCTCCAGTACCCCGGGTACGAGCACCTCCAGGACCAGTAGCCGCAGCGCCAGCACCACCAGCTCCAGCAGTAACTCCAGCACCCCCAACTCCAGCGGCTCCAATGTCTCGAGCCTCGGTAGCTCCACTCCGAAGGCGTGGGCGCCGAGCAAACCACTCTCGCAGCGGCTGCAGAGACAGTCACGGCGAAGCACCAGCAGGACCACCAGATGAAGCAGCACCCCAAGGCTCAGCACCCCCAGACTCCGCACCCTCCAACTCAGCACCCCCACGCTCAACACCCCCAGTCTCCACACCCGCAGGCTCAGCACCCCCAAGCTCCTCACCCCCAGGCCCAGAACCCCCAGACCCAGCACCCTCAGACTCCGCACCCCCTGGCTCCGCACCCCCAGACGCATCACCCCCAGACGCAACACCTCGAGCAGCACATGAGCCGACAGCTACTTGAACAGGCGCAGTACCAGGGAGAGGGTCTACCTGAGACACACATGAGGGAGCAGGACCCTGAGGCGGGAGGGGGTCTACCGGAGGAGGACCGGGAGCAAGGAAGAGCGGCGGGGGTGGGGGAGGGGCTGAGCGGTAGGGGAAGAGACGGTAGAAGGGAACCGCCTCGTCAAACGTGACGTCCTGAGAAGGGAAGACACGGCGCGAGGTTGGGTGGTAAAACTACCAGCCAGGTGCGTCAGGGACAGATCCAAGGAAGACGCAGGGGATGGCAGGGGCAGAGAGCTTGTCCGCGGACGTATCGCGAACAAAGGCACGAGAACCCCACACCCGGAACACCGACGCATCGCCAACCTCCCCCGTCCACCGCAGTGTGGGCGAGGTCTTCGGCAAGGAGACACGGGGCAGAGGTTGAGCTGATGCGCAGCGTACCGGACCGCAAACGGCCACAGAAAATGGGGAGCCGCCGCATGGATCATGGAGGTACGAGCGACCTCCATGACTAAGCCAATGCGGCGCTCAGCAATCTCATTTTGCTGAGGGGAGTCCGGAAGCGTGAACGACTGGAGAATGCCCTCCCCACGACAAAAGTCCCGCAGGAGGTCGGAGGAGAACTCACCACCTCTGTTAGAGTGCAGACACAGGACAGGAAGAACTGGCCGAACCGCTCGCGGAGCTGGAGATGGACTGTGCGGATCCAAGGGATCAAGACATCAGAGACCTCACCCTTGCTGCGCAAGGGGAAGACCGTGGTGTACCGCGTGTAGTCGTCAACTACCAGCAGAAAGTAGCGCTCGCGGCCCTGACCACTGACGCGGGCTGGGCCCCACACATCCATGTGGAGAGTCTGCAGGGGAGAAGTCGTCGGGGGGAACGAGGAGGAGTGAGGAGCGGCGAGGTGCCGCCCCTCAACGCAAGGAAGGCAGGGCGGGGCAGGCGAGGGCGGGAGGGGAGGCATAGACCTGGGAACACCAGAGACAAGAAGACGGGAGTGCATGCCACGAAGGTGTGGCAGAGAAAAATGACCCAGGCGGTGGTGCCACAGAAGAGTCTGGTGCGACAGGAGGCGACACGAGCAAGAGGCGGCTACCTGACCTGATGCGGACTCCTGAGCTGACTCAGCTACGTGACGAGGCCTGGTAGCGAGTGTGTACAGACTCGACCCTGGCCGACGAATGAACGTGGCCAGGTGACGCCCCGTCCGTGTGCACGTACAGATCGACACACGCTAACCCCCTGGAGTGGTGGTAGTGACCATCGCATCCTGGAGGGTAGCAGTACTCACCAAGTTTGTAGAGAACGAGGGGAGGTGAAGACATGACAATGAGCGGAACGGAACCGCCGGACACGGGAGGACAGTGGAGGAACGGGCCACGACCGGGTCCCCAGAGGGTGAGCCAGTCGGACCGGGACAGGTGCAGGGAGAGGAGTGAGATTAGTGATGTCACGAAAGAAACAGCGCGAGGCGCCTGAGTCCAAGGTGAAGGTGTGCAAGGCCTGAGCAGGTGCAGTACCAGGGAGAGTACCAGACTCACTAGCACCTAGAGCAGCAGCGGCTATACCTGGGTGAGGCGGCACACACCGGTAACAGTCACCCTCAGCACTAACGGACAAAGCATACATAGCAGAGAGAATAGCATCAAAGTCTAGGTCAAAGATAGCAATCCTATACCTAAGCATATCTGCCCAGCAAGGGAGCTCGTCGTCATCACCAAACTGAGCATGCCAAGCGTTGTCGAGGCGGGAGAAGCAGCGGTGCTGAGTGTGGAGCCTCCCGCAAGTCTGACCAGCACGGTCATCCGTGCGAATGACATATGGGCAGGTACCACTACCCCCAGACGCCCCACGCTGCAAAAACCACTCACGAAGCTGCTGGGGCGACTGGGTCTCGCTGCGACGCTGCTGCTGCTGATGCTGGCCACCTCCAGAACCAACACGCCGAGCGCCAGTCCCACCGCCACCAGTCCCACCGCCGCCACTGCCGCCACTCCCACCGCTGCCTCCACCGCCGCCACCAGAACCCCCACTCCCTCCACCAGTCCCACCGCCGCCACCACCCCCACTGCTGCCCCCACCACCACTCTCACTGCCACCTCCTCCACCACCGCTGCCACCTCCACCACCGCTGCCACCCTTGCCCTTGCTGCTGCGGCACTTCGTACTAGTAACAGAGACGTCTGCAGCAGCAGCAGAGGCGTAGGAGGGGGCAAGGGGGGAGGGGGAGCACCCCTCAAAGAAGGGCGGGCGCGGAGTGTCACGAGCAGCACCTACAGCAACCGCACTGGTCTCAGCGGCGAGTAGATGCTGCTCGAGGAGGTCAACAGTGAGAGAGGTGGGGTCAAAAGAGAGAAAGTGGTCCCTGACAGAGTGAAGAGATTCAGGGAGGCGAGTGACTATGAAGTAGAGGGTGATGAACATCGGGGGCTGGTTCCTGTCAAGGAACTCTGCGGGGGCGGCAGCGCGGTAGCGAGCATCGCTAGCGCGAAGGTGGGAAACCAGGTCCTCGATTGTGGCAAAGGCGGACAGCTCGGGGAAGAGGTAGGGCAGAAGCAGGCGGCCTAGAGCAGCAGTGGCAGGGGAGGAGTAGCGAGCGACTACAGCGTCGTACAGTGCTTGTGCGGTCCTGTGCTGTCCGAAGTGAGCGCATTCGGCTAACGGCAGGTGGTTGCGAATGGCTATGCGGGCAGCAGCGTCGCGAGAAAGCCACTGTGAGCGAGTCGCACTGTTAGCTGTGGCAGGAGGGGCAGTAACGGCACCGAACACGTGGTCAAACAGTGAAACACTGTCCTTAATATCGCTCAGTAGGTACAGCTGCAGATCGTCAAGCCACGTGTCAAACTGAAGTTGTCTGCCCTCATCATCAAATGCTAGAACTCGAAGCAAAGCCATCGGGGCACAGTGCGGAGGAGCAGCAGTGGCAGTAGTAGCAGTAGCAGTAGTAGTTGCAGTAGCAGCAGTAGGAAGAGTAGCAGTAGGGGCCGAGGGGCCAAGGGGCCTGGGGGCCAAGGGGCCGAGGTGCTGGGGGCCTAGGGGCCAGGGGCCGAGGGGCCAGGGGGGGGGGGGGGCGAGGGGCTAGGGGGCCGAGGGGCCGAGGGGGCGAGGGGCCGAGGGGCCGAGGGGCCGAGGGGCCAGGGGGCCGAGGGGCCAAGGGACCAAGGGGCCGAGGGGCCTGGGGCCTAGGGGCCAAGGGGCCGAGGGGCAGAGGGGCCGACGGGCCTAGGGGCCGAGGGGCCAAACACGAAAGGTGGGGGCCGAGGTGCCTAGGGGCCGAGGGGCCTAGGGGCCGAGGGGCCAAACACGAAGGGTGGGGGCCGAGGGGCCGAGGCTAGGGGCCGAGGGGCCTGGGGGCTGAGGGGCCAAACATGAAGGGGGGGCCGAGGGGCCTGGGGGCTGAGGGGCCAAACATGAAGGGGGGGCCGAGGGGCCGAGGCTAGGGGCCTAGGGGCCTAGGGGCCGAGGGGCCGAACACGAAGGGTGGGGGCCGAGGGGCCGAGGCTAGGGGCCGAGGGGCCTGGGGGGCGAGGGGCCAAACACGAAGGGTGGGGGGCCGAGGGGCCGAGGCTAGGGGCCGAGGGGCCTGGGGGCCAAGGGGCCAAGCACGAAGGGGGGGGGGGCGAGGGGCCGAGGCTAGGGGCCGAGGGGCCTGGGATCGACGGGGCCGCGGGGCCAAGGGAAACGGGGCGCCAGGGGCGACAGGGCCGAGGGGCCGGGGGGGCCTAGGTCGACGGGGTTGCGGGGGGGGGGGGGGGGGGCGGGGGCCTAGGTCGACTGGGTCGCAGGGGGCCGGGGGGCCTAGGTCGACGGGGCCGCAGGGCCTAGGTCGACAGGGTCGCGGGGGGCCGAGGGCGACGGGGCCGGGGGCCTAGGTCGACGGGGTCGCGGGGGGCCGGGGGCCTAGGTCGACGGGATAGCGGGGGCCGGGGGGGCCTAGGTCGACGGGGCCAGGGGCGACGGGGCCGGGGGCCTAGGGGCCTTGAGGTCGACGGGGCCGAGGGGACGGGCCGTGGGCGACAGGGTCTAGGGGCCGACGGGGCCAAGGGGCCTGGAACGACGGGGCCGCAGGGCCTAGGTGCGACGGGTCCGCGGGGCCAGAAACGAAGGGGCCGCGGGGTCTAGGTGCGACGGGGCCGAGAACGACGGGGCCGCGGGGCCAGAAACGAAGGGGCCGCGGGGCCTAGGTGCGTTTGGCGACGGGCCTAGGGGCGCGCGACAGGCAGCGGAAGGGGCAGTGGTAACCCTACGTTCTTAAAAAAAAACTGAAGGACCTAACTACTCTTAATACCATGTTAGAATCGAGAATGTTGTGGCATTAGGTAAAAGGGGGGGGTACAAGTACAATGTCGAGAGAAATGTTGTACCCCCTAAAGATGAACCCACTACAGCCTAGAACAATGTAAGCATATATGTTTTGACAGAAGGATGCCCTAGCTGCCGCAAACGCAGCGCTCTACGCCCCAGAGATGGCGACACGGGCTAGTGCGGCTGCCATGGCTGCGTTGCTGTCCGAACTTTTGCACGTCGGCAAGACGTTCCCGGCCAAGAAGTGGCCGGATCTGCTATATTTGTCGGCTGTCGAAGGCCTCGGCTCGACTGACGCCACCCTGTTGCAGATGGTACGCGTGGCAGCACAAGTCTGTACTCAATGGTGCTGCTGTCGATTTGCTGCCCGTTTGCTGGAGGACGCGGGCTATGGGAGCCTGGCTATGCCAGAAGAAAAGAGCAAGGCGAAGCTGGGCGACGAGGAGGCAGCAGAGGCGGAAACAAGCGGGCAAGGGGAGTAGTATAGGTGGGCGCATTGCGTGGGGGTTTTTGCATCATTCGACAGATATGTTTGTTGTTTCGATAGGTTGATCGACAGATGTTCCTTGACTTTATGTTTTCGAGAATGCTCAATTGGTTCATCTTGTCGAGATGGTGTCACAACATGCATTAGGGGAAGATGCCATGTAAACCCTGAACAACCTACACTAGGGTCCCCCCTCGTCACGGTTGCCCGTCGAACTAGGCCGCGTCGAACTAGGCCGCGCGCCACTTTTTGCCGTGAACTCTTTCCATTTCTCCTTGCCGAACACCTTCTCCGCCCATTCTGCAGTTCGGAGCTCGACGCGAATGAGCTCCAGAGTGATTCTGAGGCGTTTTTTGTCCTTCCGATTTTCCTCTGCAGACTCGACTTTGCGCTTTTTCGGGAGCTGCCTCCCAGAATCCTCCTTGAGAACGATGCCCTCCGAAAGCATGTTGATCGAGTGGCCCTTCAAAATTGAGTCAAACTTTTCGATGACCGTCGACGTAGCCGCGCTGCTGTCGTCGATCCGGAAACGCTCAACGGCCTTCATGACAGCCTCCATTTTCCGCATTTTCGTCTCGATAGCTTTTGCGGTTGGTGGATTTTCTTTTGGCTGGGCCTCCTTTTCGGGGGTTACGGGGGGTGGAGTCAGTGTGAACTTGCAGAACTTGACGGCGAAGCCCCTCTTGTAAGCCTGTCGAAGACTATGCCCGTTGTTCAGTGGGCTTGGCCCGTCCCAGTACGACCACGCCTTCCGCACGGTCTCGTAATCGCACCACGGCCACACCACCACGTCGAAGAACGTCTGGTCGAGCTAGCAACCCACGCTCTGTCAAGAGGGCGTTGCTTGTTGGGCTTGCTGTGGATCCGGGGTGGCTTCCTCGGTCGCCGTCTGCGGCACGCTCTCGCTCTCCCCCACATTTGCAGCTGCGCTTGTCGCCGCGGTATTCTTCAATGCGTCGAACGCTTTCTGTAGTTGCGCGAACGCCTCTGTCTTCGCCTCCAACTCAGCTTTCATCGAGCTCTTCTCCCGCTCCAATGACTCGACCTGCTTCTCGAGGTGGTTGATTTGGATTTCCTTTTTCCCTCCCTCCTCCTTGTGGAGGTTTATCTCGGCCCGAAGTTGCGTGACGAGGTGCTTGGTGTTGAGGTGAGAGGATACGTCCTGCACGCAAGAACACGTGCAGTCAGTGGGCTGATGCAAAGTCGTCGCTTATAGTTTTGGAAGGACCATCTTACCGTCGCTCTAGACATCGTGGGGTTGGTCCACATCTCGATGCCGTACTTGTCGAGCGTGTACACGTCGAGCGCCCATTTTTTGAAATCTTCGTCCTTGCACAAACCCGACATCTGGACGTAAGGGTGACGCTCGCAGTCACAAACGCTGATCCCGTCGAAGGGGTGGTCCTCACAATGGACGTAGTACATCGCAAGATCCTCTGCGATGGGCATTCGGGCAGCTATCATAGCCTCCAAGAAACTCTTCGCTGCATAGTACATGTGTTCCTTGTCCCGCTCATTGTTCCACTCCTGGGCCTGAACATCAACGAACGGGGTGACATCGAGAGATGGATGGGCGCGCAAAACTTGCGTTCGACGAAGACGCCAAGTGCTCGACAGATACATACCTCGATGAGCCACAGCTCCGCCTTAGGAAAGATGTGCTCCTCGATAGCCTTCAGGACCTTTGGGGGCACTTTGGTCTTTGATCTTCCGATGTAATAGTCGCCCGGTTCCTGCAAGAAACCCGCTTGCATCTGGATGGCCGGGCGCGGGATGCCTGTGACGTATGACCTGCGCATCTCGTTCATGTCCCATTGACCCAGCTGTGTGATGGTGTTGAGGTCTAAGTTCTTGTCCGCGAGGATCTGTGCCGCAGACCGTCGAAAGATGTGCGTGACTTTCGACAGGATCCACACCGCGCTATTCATCGCCCATGTCACCCATTTGTTGTGCGTCGAGTACGGCATCTCTGTCTTCTCTTTGTCGAAGAGGGCGAAGAACAGGTGTTTCTTCGACCAGGCCTCCGGGTTTGAAAAATCCAAGGGGGGCACGATATTCTCGTTGTTGTAGTAGAGCGGCACGAGGTCGAAAAGGAAGTGTAGCCAGAGGAAAACTGCTCCAAAGCCGCATTGCTGGAAGTCCATGTGTCGAGTCAGGTACAAGTGGCCGAGCTTGTTGTCTTTGACGGTCTTCGAATTGCGATAGGCGACCACGAGAACGAGGATCGACGATTCCCCCGGGCTGTTCGTGATGGGCAGAAGGACGTGAGTGAACATGTTGCAGTAGCGGATTGTACGGATGCTGATCCCCCTGCCCAGCATGTGATGCGCCATCAGAATCATCACCCTCACAGCCAAGGCCTTCCACAGCGACAGACTGGGGTACGCCATCGACGACCCGAAGTACACCTTGGCCCAGTGCGACAGGATGTCTGAAACAAGAATGTGGAACTGCTCCTCCGTGTAGACATCGTCGAGCGAGCCAAGATGTGGGTCGACGCAGCTCCTGCATAGAGTGGGCAGATACAACAATTGATAAGTGAGAAAGTGAGTGAGAAGTTGTAGCCGACGGGGTAGGGAAGCGAACTTACTCGAACTGATAGTCGTGCAGCTGTCGCAGCTTGACCGCTAGTAGCTGCCTAGCCTCGGTGATGTCATCCATCGGTTTTGTGAGTGGTTCGTCGAAGAGTATGGCCTCTACTTTGCACAAGCACCCTAGCGCAGTTAGGCGCGCCAGCATCATCGGTGGGGTGCATTTTTTCGGCTTCCGTCCCGCTACTCTGGTCCGCCCGGTATCCAAGGAAGCAGCCTGTTCGTCCGTTTCCGTCGACATGTACTCGACGTAAGCCCGCAACCGCCATTTCGACGTCCAAGGCCCATGCATGTGCTCCTCGTTAAGGAGCGCCGCCCTCCACCCCTTCCCTAAATCCTTGCCGATCTCTCTCCCGACCTCGTCCTCGTTGATCACCTGCTCCTCGACCGGCACTCCGTTGTTTTTTCCGGGCGTCAGGGTTGCACAGGCCCAAGCCTTGAAATGCATGAAACCCGAGACGTAGTTTGGCCGAGTGGAATCCTGGTCGATTGCCAGCAGCGGAAGCTGACAAAGGTGAATCGCAATTTTGAGCATTCCCGTCGCCATGTACGGATTTTCTTCGCCCTGTTCGTCACCAAGAATGTGGGCTGCCTCCTCTTCTGATATATTTGCCGCGGCAGGGCGCAAAGGGTCCATCTCTTCGACATCGTCCGCCTCGGGCTGTTTTTCCTGTTCATCATCGTCATCATTCATCTCTGCAGGGACGTGGCTGGCTAAGTCCGCTTTGCTGGGTCTTTTCGATGAGCGCATAGGCGCGGCGGGAGTGGCTCGCGAAGCGGATGTACCGGCTGGGGGTGGTGGCCTAACCTCAGCCGGAACACCCGTACCCCTTCTCCTACGTCGCCCACCGGTCGAGCTCGGGACAGCGGCTACTGGTTCCGTTGGTGTTGTCGAACGTTGTGGTGCCGAAGATGATGACGGCTGGTTAGTCGCTTCCGGTGTCGAGGGAGGGGATGTTGTCGAAATCGGTTCTACTACTACAGGTATGGATTGCGCCGTCGAAGGGACTTCGGTCGGTGCCCCCCCCACTTCGACATTGACGGCACGTTCCGTCGAGCATTGATCCGTCGCAACCGGCTGAACCACTACCGGTATGGCTCGTGACGTCGAGGGTGGCGCTGTTGATACCGGTATGGCTCATGACGTCGATTGTGGAGCTGTCGAGCCCGGTATGGCTCGTGACGTCGAGGGTGGCGATGTCGAGCCCGGTATGGCTTGTAACGTCCTAGGGGGTTGCGTCGAGATGGTTTCAACGTCGACAGGTAGTGGTCCTACCGCTGCCTGCCGGAAAGGCGTTGTCCTCGACGGATCGTTCTCCATCAGTGCCTACCCGAAAGCTCTCGTTGCCGTAGCGCTGGCCTAACTGAGAAAAACAATGTTACTGCTGCTCCCGGTTCAGGATTTCATTGAAACCGTTGTTGGGCTAATAACCCTTCCCTAACAGGTGTCCTCAAGGCCTTGGCCTTTGACGTGGGCATCATCTGTTGACGTGACCCCTTTGATGGCGACTTACGTAACCCGTCGCCCGTCCAACAGCGACGTCTCGCTCGACCGTCGAAGCGGTCGATCGACCGCAGTTGAAGGCGCCGTCGATTGTGACCGTCGGCCAGTTGCGAGACCCGTTAGCACTCACATCGACCGACAGCGCGGCCTGTCAGGCGACGTCGATGGCGACGTCTGGCGCTGTCACCCATCTTGTCGGGGGTGCACAATGCTCGACGGCGATTGGCCAATGCCTGTCAAGCAGTGCTCGATCAATGTCCCCCGAATTGCAACAGTACGGTTGAGACAGAGGGATTCGGAGGGTTTTTTGGAGGGATTTTTCGCCTTGTCAGGCGGGAGTTACGGGGTGACCCGAGGGATTCGGAGGGTTTTCGGATTTGCCCCGAAATCCCTTTGTGCCAGGACCCGTGGGGCGGCATGTGCTGAAGTCACGCGTCCCTATATTACTGGGTTCAACAATGCGAACTCCTTCCTGGAAACTCCTAACGGTTGAATGAAGCAACCGAAATGAGGAATCAACTTTCTGCCATGCTAGAATTACAAGCAGGTCAAATTCGTGGGGAAGGGAAGGGACGAATTGGAGGGAAAGAATACCAGTTCGGAGGGATGGGTTGTAAACTGGGTTGCGTGTGGTCCACGTCTTGTTACAGAAGCTTGCGAAGGTCTATCAGTTTCCTGCTGGGTCCAGCGACGAAGGCTTGGGGGGCGCTTCACGCCCAACCATCAAGGTTGTGGGTTTTTGCAACAGTACAGTATCTGATTGATGGGCATGCGGATGGTACAGTTGTCTCTACAACGACGTGATGACAACACGACAATCAACATCTCTATGTACTTAAAGCCCACGCCTAAATTGAGAAAGCCGATCGGACCGCGTGTTTGCGAACTGGGCGCGTTGTTTCACGAACAACCTGACGTCTGTTTGTTCAGACTTCTGTAAGGTAACATCCAGCGCTAAAGTACGTCTGCGATTCAAATCCTGTGCAACAGCTAACAAATATATGTACACTTACAAAGTCCGGAGAGAGCCGTCCGGACGGTGTTAGACAAAAGATGTAACACGCCCTAACGAGGAGTACGACATGTGCTGCTTGGAATTTCTGAATCCTAGCAGACACTTCGAAAGCCGAGATGGGATCTCTGAATTGATCCAAAGTTTAGATCGACCCTTTTTTTCCGCGATGCGATGCAACCCCGAACAAACTCCGCTGTGACGATGAACGAGCGCGCGCGAGACGAGTGCAACAGCGGAGGCGGGCGGGGAGTGGGCGCGAGACGGGCAGCGGGTAGAGGGAGAAGGGCGAGGGGGAGCGGGGGAGGGCGAGGCTCTGCGCGGCAAGGGGCGGAGGAGGAGATGGACGACGCGAGGTCAGCACTGTGAGGGGCGACGCGAGGTGAGCGCTGTGAGGGGCGACGCGAGGTGAGCGCTGTGAGGGGCGACGCGAGGAGAGCGCTGTGAGGGGCGACGCGAGGTGAGCGCTGTGAGGGGCGACGCGATCTGATGCTGGGATGGCTTGACCAGGGTGTGATGGCGTGATGAAGCGTGGTTGGTAGTGACGGTTGGATGATCAAGTGCGGGTGCCATGGATATTCGTCTGCCCCTCCCATTTCCGCCCTCCCCTTCGCCACCTCCGCCCTCCCCTTCGCCCCCTCCGCCCCCTTCGCCCCTTCCGCCCCCCCCCTTCGGCCCCGTTCGCCCCCTTCGTTGCCTGGGCGCCGTCGCCCGCCACAAACGCCACCACCCTCCCCTCTTCAATACCCAAAACTTAACCAACCGTATTCTCCTACTGCGCCCTCCTGCCGATTTCTTCCTCCCCACTTTCTCCCGCTGCACCACGCGCGCCCTCGTCCTTATCGATTAATCCCCCCTCTCGCTACTTCGTCTCCCTCCTCCCCCGACCCTTTCCCCTCGCTTCCCACCCCCCCCATATCCTCGCACTCCCTCCTGGTGGCAGCGTGGCGGTGTGGGCGTGTGCGCGGCTGGGCTGACCACTTTCGGTCTTGAATTGCCTTCGTCATTTTGTTGATTCCCCTTCCCACAACCCCCCCCCCCTCGTTGCAGCGTGGCGGCGTGGGCGTGTGCGCGGTTGGGCGAGCCGAAGAGGGGGCTGATGAGGCGAGCGGTGCATGCACTGGGGGGAGACGCCGTCAGGGGGATGGTGGGGGAGGTGAGGGCGTGAGGGTGGGGAATTGGGGTGGGAAATGGGGGAAGGGAATTGGGGTGGGAATGGGGGAAGGGAATTGGGGTGGGAAATGGGGGAAGGGAATTGGGGTGGGAAATGGGGGAAGGGAATTGGGGAAGGGAATTGAGCGAGTTTAAGAGGGGGCTGATGAGGCGAGCCGTGCACGCGCTGGGGGGAGACACCGTCTGAGGCATGGTGGCGGAGGTGAGGGGCATGTGGGGAGGTGAGGGGCATGTGGGGAGGTGAGGGGCATGTGGGGAGGTGAGGGGCATGTGGGGAGGTGAGGGGCATACGGGGGAGGTGAGGGTTTAAGTGCACGCGGGTTCAAGGATGCGGAATGTGGGATAACGTGTGTAAGTGAGAAAGGGGCAATATGGAGAGGCCGTAACCTACCTATGAGGAAGAGGGGTTAAGATATGAAGTATGGGGAATGGGCGGGGGGGAGGGATGAAACTATAAGGGAGGTTTCAGGTCCAAGGGGATTGCGTTTCGCACTACTTGTGTTTCCTCCCCCCTTGTCTTCGCATCGTTCTCACGTCTTCTCCTTCTCCCATTTCTTTTGTCCCCCGTTTGCTTCTCTGTCCGCTGGTCTCTTCCTTCCCTGATACTTTTCCCCTCGCAGCCCACCCTCTGACCCCCTCACCCCCTCGCGCACTTGACCCCTCACCCCCTTGGCCCCTTAACCCCTCAACTCCTCGCCCCCTCGCCCCCTTGGCCCCTCTCCTCCTCAACCCCTCGGCCCCTCTCCTCCTCAACCCCTCGCCCCCTCTCCTACTAGGCGCGTTGTTTCACGAACAACCTGACGTCTGTTTGTTCAGACTTCTGTAAGGTAACATCCAGCGCTAAAGTACGTCTGCGATTCAAATCATGTGCAACAGCTAACAAATATATGTACACTTACAAAGTCCGGAGAGAGCCGTCCGGACGGTGTTAGACAAAAGACGTAACATGCCCTAACGAGGAGTACGACATTGCTCCTCTCAGTACATTGCTCCTTTCAGTACATTGCTCCTCTCAGTACATTGCTCCTCTCAGTACATTGCTCCTCTCAGTACATTGCTCCTCTCAGTACATTGCTCCTCTCAGTACATTGCTCCTCTCACTACATTGCTCCTCTCAGTACATTGCTCCTCTCACTACATTGCTCCTCTCAGTACATTGCTCCTCTCACTACATTGCTCCTCTCAGTACATTGCTCCTCTCACTACATTGCTCCTCTCAGTACATTGCTCCTCTCACTACATTGCTCCTCTCACTACATTGCTCCTCTCAGTACATTGCTCCTCTCACTACATTGCTCCTCTCAGTACATTGCTCCTCTCAGTACATTGCTCCTCTCACTACATTGCTCCTCTCACTACATTGCTCCTCTCACTACATTGCTCCTCTCACTACATTGCTCCTCTCACTACATTGCTCCTCTCACTACATTGCTCCTCTCAGTACATTGCTCCTCTCACTACATTACTCCTCTGACTACATTGCTCCTCTGACTACATTGCTCCTCTGACTATATTGCTCCTCTGACTACATTGCTCCTCTGACTACATTGCTCCTCTGACTACATTGCTCCTCTGACTACATTGCTCCTCTGACTACATTTCTCCTCTGACTACATTGCTCCTCTGACTACATTGCTCCTCTGACTACATTGCTCCTCTGACTACATTGCTCCTCTGACTACATTGCTCCTCTCACTACACTGCTCCTCTGACTACATTGCTCCTCTGACTACATTGCTCCTCTGACTACATTGCTCCTCTGACTACATTGCTCCTCTGACTACATTGCTCCTCTGACTACATTGCTCCTCTCACTACATTGCTCCTCTCACTACATTGCTCCTCTCACTACATTGCTCCTCTCACTACATTGCTCCTCTCACTACATTGCTCCTCTCACTACATTGCTCCTCTCAGTACATTGCTCCTCTCACTACATTGCTCCTCTCAGTACATTGCTCCTCTCACTACATTGCTCCTCTCAGTACATTGCTCCTCTCACTACATTGCTCCTCTCACTACATTGCTCCTCTCAGTACATTGCTCCTCTCACTACATTGCTCCTCTCACTACATTGCTCCTCTCACTACATTGCTCCTCTCACTACATTGCTCCTCTCACTACATTGCTCCTCTCACTACATTGCTCCTCTCACTACATTGCTCCTCTGACTACATTGCTCCTCTCAGTACATTGCTCCTCTCACTACATTACTCCTCTGACTACATTGCTCCTCTGACTACATTGCTCCTCTGACTACATTGCTCCTCTGACTACATTGCTCCTCTGACTACATTGCTCCTCTGACTACATTGCTCCTCTGACTACATTGCTCCTCTGACTACATTGCTCCTCTGACTACATTGCTCCTCTGACTACATTGCTCCTCTCACTACACTGCTCCTCTGACTACATTGCTCCTCTGACTACATTGCTCCTCTGACTACATTGCTCCTCTGACTACATTGCTCCTCTGACTACATTGCTCCTCTCACTACATTGCTCCTCTCACTACATTGCTCCTCTCACTACATTGCTCCTCTCACTACATTGCTCCTCTCACTACATTGCTCCTCTCACTACATTGCTCCTCTCACTACATTGCTCCTCTCACTACATTGCTCCTCTCACTGCATTGCTCCTCTCACTACATTGCTCCTCTCACTGCATTGCTCCTCTCACTACATTGCTCCTCTCACTACATTGCTCCTCTCACTACATTGCTCCTCTCACTACATTGCTCCTCTCACTACATTGCTCCTCTCACTACATTGCTCCTCTCACTACATTGCTCCTCTCACTACATTGCTCCTCTCACTACATTGCTCCTCTCACTACATTGCTCCTCTCACTACATTGCTCCTCTCACTACATTGCTCCTCTCACTACATTGCTCCTCTCACTACATTGCTCCTCTCACTACATTGCTCCTCTCAGTACATTGCTCCTCTCACTACATTGCTCCTCTCAGTACATTGCTCCTCTCAGTACATTGCTCCTCTCAGTACATTGCTCCTCTCAGTACATTGCTCCTCTCAGTACATTGCTCCTCTCAGTACATTGCTCCTCTCAGTACATTGCTCCTCTCACTACATTGCTCCTCTCAGTACATTGCTCCTCTCACTACATTGCTCCTCTCAGTACATTGCTCCTCTCACTACATTGCTCCTCTCAGTACATTGCTCCTCTCACTACATTGCTCCTCTCAGTACATTGCTCCTCTCACTACATTGCTCCTCTCACTACATTGCTCCTCTCAGTACATTGCTCCTCTCACTACATTGCTCCTCTCAGTACATTGCTCCTCTCACTACATTGCTCCTCTCACTACATTGCTCTCACTACATTGCTCCTCTCACTACATTGCTCCTCTCACTACATTGCTCCTCTCACTACATTGCTCCTCTGACTACATTGCTCCTCTGACTACATTGCTCCTCTGACTACATTGCTCCTCTGACTACATTGCTCCTCTGACTACATTGCTCCTCTGACTACATTGCTCCTCTGACTACATTGCTCCTCTGACTACATTGCTCCTCTGACTACATTGCTCCTCTGACTACATTGCTCCTCTGACTACATTGCTCCTCTGACTACATTGCTCCTCTGACTACATTGCTCCTCTGACTACATTGCTCCTCTGACTACATTGCTCCTCTGACTACATTGCTCCTCTCACTACACTGCTCCTCTGACTACATTGCTCCTCTGACTACATTGCTCCTCTGACTACATTGCTCCTCTGACTACATTGCTCCTCTCACTACATTGCTCCTCTGACTACATTGCTCCTCTCACTACATTGCTCCTCTCACTACATTGCTCCTCTCACTACATTGCTCCTCTCACTACATTGCTCCTCTCACTACATTGCTCCTCTCACTACATTGCTCCTCTCAGTACATTGCTCCTCTCACTACATTGCTCCTCTCAGTACATTGCTCCTCTCACTACATTGCTCCTCTCAGTACATTGCTCCTCTCACTACATTGCTCCTCTCACTACATTGCTCCTCTCAGTACATTGCTCCTCTCACTACATTGCTCCTCTCAGTACATTGCTCCTCTCACTACATTGCTCCTCTCACTACATTGCTCCTCTCACTACATTGCTCCTCTCACTACATTGCTCCTCTCACTACATTGCTCCTCTCACTACATTGCTCCTCTCACTACATTGCTCCTCTCACTACATTGCTCCTCTCACTACATTGCTCCTCTCACTACATTGCTCCTCTCACTGCATTGCTCCTCTCACTACATTGCTCCTCTCACTACATTGCTCCTCTCACTACATTGCTCCTCTCACTACATTGCTCCTCTCACTACATTGCTCCTCTCACTACATTGCTCCTCTCACTACATTGCTCCTCTCACTACATTGCTCCTCTCACTACATTGCTCCTCTCACTACATTGCTCCTCTCACTACATTGCTCCTCTCACTACATTGCTCCTCTCACTACATTGCTCCTCTCACTACATTGCTCCTCTCACTACATTGCTCCTCTCACTACATTGCTCCTCTCACTACATTGCTCCTCTCAGTACATTGCTCCTCTCAGTACATTGCTCCTCTCAGTACATTGCTCCTCTCAGTACATTGCTCCTCTCAGTACATTGCTCCTCTCAGTACATTGCTCCTCTCAGTACATTGCTCCTCTCAGTACATTGCTCCTCTCAGTACATTGCTCCTCTCACTACATTGCTCCTCTCAGTACATTGCTCCTCTCACTACATTGCTCCTCTCAGTACATTGCTCCTCTCACTACATTGCTCCTCTCAGTACATTGCTCCTCTCACTACATTGCTCCTCTCAGTACATTGCTCCTCTCACTACATTGCTCCTCTCACTACATTGCTCCTCTCAGTACATTGCTCCTCTCACTACATTGCTCCTCTCAGTACATTGCTCCTCTCACTACATTGCTCCTCTCGCTACATTGCTCCTCTCACTACATTGCTCCTCTCACTACATTGCTCTCACTACATTGCTCCTCTGACTACATTGCTCCTCTCAGTACATTGCTCCTCTCACTACATTGCTCCTCTGACTACATTGCTCCTCTGACTACATTGCTCCTCTGACTACATTGCTCCTCTCACTACACTGCTCCTCTGACTACATTGCTCC